TCTTTCTGGTGGCGTGTTCTCTCGCTCCAATGACTTCGAGTTTGTGGAAGACTTGAAGGAGAATCCAACTATGGAAATATGAGAGTACTACAACTACTACTGGAGAGGAAGTTTTTGCTTTCGAAATTGCCACCATTCTCATTCCATGATTTCCAGTCTAACATACTGCTTTTTTTTCTTTTTTTTTTTCTTTTTTCGGGGTGTAAGGGCAACAAATACTACAGGAGAGTGCCATTCCACGTTAACCGATTCCCTCTGCTCAAATAGAGATCAATATCACTATTTTGATTATCTTCACACTACCCAAGCTGCAAACCATGTCTTCTCTTTGAATTGCTTCAGTGGAATACTTTGCTCCCCACTCAATATCATACAACTCGTGGGGCCCAAAGTCTAGTGATCTTGTGTTAGGTTGGTTATGCATGTGATGGGTTTGTGTTGGCGCATGTAATGGCGTTGTTAAGATAGTTAATGAAATAGTTATTTGTAGCTCTACTTCATTTATGTAATGGCTTTTAGTTATTGAAATGGTATTTGTGGCTCTACTTTATTATACGTGTAATGGCTTTTATTAATATATAGTTAATGAAATGATATTTGTGGCTCTACTTTATTAATATATAGTTAATAAAATGATATTTGTGGCTCTACTTTATATACAGTTAATAAAAGCCATTACACATATAATAAAGTAGAGCCACAAATACCATTTCATTTACTATAATCCATTACATAAATGAAGTAGAGCCACAAATTACTATTTCATTAACTATCTTAACAACGCCATTACATGCGCCAACACAAACCCATCACATGCATAACCAACCTAACACAAGATCACTAGACTTAGGCCCCACAAGTTGTATGATATTGAGTGGGGAGCAAAGTATTCCATTGAAGCAATTCAAACAGAAGACATGGTTTGCAGCTTGGGTAGTGTGAAGATAATCAAAATAGAGATATTGATCTCTATTTGAGCAGATGGAATCGGTTAACGTGGAATGGCACTCTCCTGCAGTATTTGTTACCCCTGCACCCCGAAAAAAAAAAATGTTAGACTAGAAATCATGGAATGAGAATGGTGGCAATTTAGAAAGCAAAAACTTCCTCTCCAGTAATAGTTGTAGTACTCTCATATTTCCATAGTTGGATTCTCCTTCAAGTCTTCCACAAACTCGAAGTCATTGGAGTGAGAGAACACGGCACTAGAAAGATTGGACTGTAATTCCTTGAGCATCACAGGAAGCTTCTTGTTGTACGGACGGACCAACTGGCTAATTGTCTCATTGCAACAAATAGCCAGAGGGTCCGATACATTGGCATACAATGGTGTGCACCCTAATGGCCAAATGTTGTTAAACAGAAATTTTCATGCCCCCCATCCATATAATGTCTGTAAAACATAGCATATCGATTTCAGTGTGATACTTATTATTGCATGTTTTAGAATCAGATAAACACACTTTACTGTAATTATAAAGCTTGTGAACATCTTACCGTCAACCCCACTAACAGTTCATTTGGGAGGAATTGTGCAAAGGCATCAGGAGACAATTTGCTTAGGGTACCACTGTTCTTGGGAAGATAGAGTTGGACATAATCATTGATGCCAAAAGAAAACAAAAAAACTGAGTTTTTCACATGCTGGAGGAGGTCCGGATTACTGAACATTTTGGTCAGATTATTTCTCAGAGTTGAATTGAACTTGTCAATCTGACCATCCAAACTCCAACCATTCTAAAGCCAAAAAACAAAAACAAACAAACAAACAAATGAACATGAAACTTCATAGTAAAATTCGTGATCAAAATAAAGAAAATTGAATCAGTTAAGAAAACATGCAGACAAGCATTTGTATATATCACCGGACCAATTTGTGGCAATATACCACAGCCTGCAAATGCGTAGTTCACACCCATTCTTGATATTCCAGCTTTGGACAAATCAATGTAGGGTGGAACAAGGGGCAACCCGAGGAAGATTGATGGGGAAAAAAATTTAAATAAATAAATAAAAAATACTTTTAGAGATCTTTTCATATCGAAAAGTAATACAAAAATGAAGTCGATCCAATTTACCAACAAAATCAGCAATGGTCTCGCTATTGGTCCAGCGTATTGGTGTTGTGGTGTTTAAGTCAATTCAGTAAGGTGTTCTGCTAGTAAGCCTATTCCCACCATCGATGGTCTAATCTCCAATGACATACAGTGCCAGAACGAGCGGGATAGTTGCTTGTGCGTCGTAGACGGAGATGAAGCAGGAACAAACACAGAGCAACAAAAGGCTAGCAATGGCTGCCATGTTGAGAGGAAGAAGAAGGAGGCAAAGAGAGACAGAGAGATACAAGAATTATATGAAACTAACAAGATGATCACCTCTATTTATAGAAGATCAAGGCATTTACTTTGGATATCAATATGAGAGAGAGTACACATGATATGTATATACATATTATATTGTTGTGCCATATTATATTATTGTGCACAAGAACAGAGCATTTACTTTGGATATCAATATGAGAGTGAGAGAGTACACATGATATGTATATACATAATATATTGCTGTGCACAAGAACAGAGCATTAATGCTTTGCCAGAGTAGCCATTTTTGTCAATTTGGAGCTTTCTTATTGCCATACCCGAACCTGAGGAACGATAATGTCACACACAAAAGGAGAAGTTTATCCCAATCTTTGCCATTTTCCTCAATTTTAAGTTTTCTTTAACCAGTTTTCTACAATATTTTGGTATGTGTTATATTTATGGTTTGAATAATTAAATGACTTTTAATCATGACGCAAGAAGTTATAATTAAATTTTATTTGAGGCATAGTTAAAAAAAAATTTGAATCCTAACAAAAAATAATAATTACAATAAGTTATAACCAAATTCACAATGGGTCACAATTACCAGTTAGGTTGGTTCATCCTACTTTCCCATTTAGGAATGCACACTCAATATCGTAAAAAGTAGCTCATACCGCTATATCCATCTCTAACGAAATTTCGGCAATATCTCCCTATGGTTCTCCAAGTACACGACATAGACTAGGTGTACTATTACACCTTGTCTAGTATGCACCCAGAGAACATGAGGACCTACTACACAAAATCTATACGAGATGGACTACATTGAAGCAGTAGAACTACTAATTAAGACATAGACTTGTGCTCCAGAATTGTCCAAACTGGACAACCCAAGAAGAGCTTCATCAAAGATGATTAGGCATCTCTAATGAAGATTCTTGGACAGGTCTATGGCTATTTATGCATGCATGGATAATTACTTGCTAAATTAACAACTGTCATATTTTTACATCCCAGTGGTGCAATCTGAATCAGAATTATCAAGCATACTAGAAGAATTTCTAGCATGAAGCATATTACTGAAGAAACTAAAAGTTTCTACAATTCTCTTGATAGATTATGATATAGAGCTTCATCAAATATGACTACGTGTGCACTAAAAAATTAAATCTATGTCCCTTAGTATAAGTAAAAAAATCAACTCCATCACATATATCATGAAAGAATCAATATGAAAAATGCCAAAGCCAGAGATGAAATATGCATAATTGATACAAAACTCCTACAGTATTTGTTTTTACAAGGCTAGTAGTGAACTATACAAGCATATCACTATCAATACAAAAACCTAAATATAAATCATGTCCCCGCAATCACCAATTAATCAACTAATCATTCAAAAACCTAAATCCAAATCATGTCCCCGCAATCACCAATTAATCCAAATCATGTCCCCGCAATCACCAATTAATCATCTTATGTCCAAAACTAGTCACAAAACCAGTCACAAAACCAACTACAACTTTTTCAACTTTCAAGGTATCAAAATAAGTTACCATGACATTTCATCAGCTGGATTCAATAATTGTTTCATCTCAATCTGAGCAGCGAACTACTTGATTAATGTGCACATTTTTTCTACATTTCATCAGCTGGATTCAATAAGTTACCATGACATATTTTTTTCTACATTTTTTATAAATAGTTGCAAAGGAATGATTTTCATTGCACTGTAGTGATTTTGGAGATAGATCGACAAAGCTCAAAATTCTGAACTTGTAAACGGGTTCTACAGAAGTGTTCTCTAGGGGGTGTATGGTAGTTTAATTAATGGTTGACAAATATTTGAAACCTAAATGTCATAGTGAACTTGCTGGGTTCCACCATATTTTTACATCACCTTAATGTCATAGTTACTGTTTACATCACCAAAACTTTATGTTTCTTGCATTATAAACCTAAAAATCCTTTTGCCTCGTCTTTAAAATACCTAGAAAACCATTCCTAACAACCATATCCACCAAGCTGTGTTCCATCTTGGTCTCAACCCTCAATTTCTACCAGGACTTAATTTTCTTTTTGGGTGGTTGATTTATGTGGATATGCATTTCTAAAATCCATTTTACAGGTCAATTTCTATTCCAATGTTTAACAACAATCAAAAAATAACATTTTGTCCATCCAACACTGCCAAATTCTACACTTGAAATGTTTCTTTATCATTAGTATTAAAACAAAATCACAGAAAAATAAAAAATATAAATATAAATAACTTGAACAACAAGAATATAGAGAAGCCACAAAATTCATATAACAAATAAATAACGAATCTAATAACGTTCATATAATTCTAGGGCGCGATCAAGCGTTAATGGAAGATAACAATTATGAATCCAGATAAAAATAAAGCAGCAGCACAACCTAGACTTATAATCGGGGTAATTATCAGAAGAAATGAAAACGAAAACAAATTTAAAGAGGATTGAACAGATTAGAAAGAAACATTTAGCAGCTTGATGTGTGTGCGTGAGAGAGAGGTGAGATACATCCACCAAATCCAAAACAATGAACTCAAAACAATGACAACACACACACACACACGCACAGAGATATATATATATATATATCAAATACATTTGAAAAATCAGAGATCTGAGGTCATACAAAACAAATGCATATATAATAAAAACTTACAGATCTGAGTTATGCAACAAAAAGAAGCGTCCGATTGAGCGAGATCTATAACAAAACAGAGCAGCAACAAACTTACGGATCTTCAGTGAGAAAAAAAAAGAGGGGGGGGGGCCTAAACGAGCTTCAACATCTGGATTGGCCAAAGGACCAAAATCGAAAGAGAGGAGAACCAAAATCGGAAGATAAGCGCAAATCTGGTGACCAAAATCTACAAGTTCTGAAATCCACAGATCTAAAATCGATTGAGTGTTTGAAATCGAGAGAGGAGTGTTTGAAATCGAGTGAGTTTGTTTGAAATTGAGGGAGAGTGAGAGCTTCAAAACAGTGCGAGTGAGGGTTTTTGAGCTTCAAATTGAATGGGTTTTTGAGCGAGAGAGTGAGTTTGTTTGAAATCGAGCTTCAAATCGAGGGTTTCTGAGTTTTGGATGAGAGAGAGTGAGCTGTGGTAGAGTGAGAGTGCGAGACGGTTTGAAAGGGACAGAGTTTTGAACGGTGTGAACTAATTGACCTAAAACGGTGCCGTGTAACTGAGATCCAAAGACAACGTTTTCAAAAGGTTGTGTATAATTAATCTATCGTGGTGTTTTCCTAAACGCCACAAAAGAAGCGTTGCCGTAGGCCCTTTTTCCTGTAGTGATTGGTGACTTAGTGCAAGATATGAATTTAATATGAAGAATTTGGCATTAAATCACACATGCATTCATAATTTTGTTGAGTCTCATGAATATAAGTATCATTCATACCATTTGAGATGGAATTAGAGACTATATTTTACATGCATGCATAATCCATGAAGTTATGGAACTTGATTGCATGAGTTTTGAAGTTATCAAGCAGAGTTTGAAATGATTTGGGACTTGCATGATGAATTCATAATTAATTGAACTTCAATCTTGTAGAATTGACTCATATGATCATGTTAGCAGTTGTATGGCTCAAATATAGAACATAATATGCAAGTTGTACCATTGAAAACCATGTTTTGAAACCCAAATAGCATTATGGAAAACCCAAAAATCGACCGCATCGCTCGAGTGGTGAAGTTACCTCTCGAGCGTAAATTGAAGGCATCCAGTATTTTTGCAGACAATTGCACGGTGGCTCAAGCGGCAAAACTTGCGTTCGAGCGAACCTTGTTTGAATTGCTCATGGCTCGAGCGACCCAAAGTTGCGCTCGAGCCTAAAATTCAAGCAACCAGTACTTTTGCAGAGCTTTGCAGACTGCTCGAGTGACCAAAGTTGTGCTCGAGCGAAGAGCCCTATTTTAGGAACTTTTGAAACATTGTTTTATGCTTCAATTTCCATTCTCTTTCATTTCTAAGCATTCTTAGCACACATTGAGCATCCTAAATGAATTAAAGAACACAAAAGAAGCCTAAGAAAATTAAGCAAACTAAATGTAGTAAACAATTTATGGAATGGACATATTGACTCACCTTTGTTAAAAGGTTGAAAGGCAAAAATAATTTTACTTGTGTATGGTACGGGTTTTCATTGGATGGAAGTACCATATAGACAATGCCACATAATAATTCCAACTAGTAAGGTAACTAATGTATGTATTCTCATTTACAACTTTACTGTTAGAGTGTAGTTCCTCTATATTTGTGTTTTGATTTTCTCTTCCTTTCTCCTCGTAATGTTTAATTGCTATCAATAAATTGTTACTTTTTCTAATTAAAAGATCTCATAGAAGATTAGAAATTGTTCTCACTTGCTCAATTATCCACTAAATAAAGGCATAATGTGATATATTAAAGAGTAAACGTGCAGATATGAGCGGAGAAGAAATATATTCAATATGATGAGTAAGTGTTATAGTAACTAGAAGGGTAGAGAACTAATCAGGGTCCTAGACTGCAAGTTTCTAGTATGTTATGGGATAATGTGGCACCACCAAAAGCACAGTTTCTGAGTTGGCTGGCGTGCCGAGGGAGGGTTAAAACAAGTAGTCTACTACAGAGGTTAGGGGTTTTAAGTGGAGGTGATGTGCCCATTTTGCAGGACTGAAGCAGAATCTGTGACTCACATTTGTCTGCACTGTTCAGAGGTGTGGAAGGTTTGGGCAATTTTGTTGCGATGGTGGGAATTTTGCTAGGTTATACCTGATACAATTGAAGGAGTGCTATTTTGGTGGATTGCAACAAAACTTAAAAAATCTGTAAGAAAGATCTGGAGGCTTGTACCAGTAGCAATGTTGTGGTCAACTTGGAGGTTGAGAAATGATGTAGTCTTCAATGGTTATCAACCAAATATGGAAGAGCTTGGTGAATTAGTGAAAGTCAGGGTTGGGCTGTGGGCTAAATCAATTATGTCTACTATCCCCTATTCAGTGCATGACACCGTGAACAATCTGTATCAACTTAGGAGATGTCTATGAGGTGGTTGGCTTGGAGTTGGTTTTTCTTGCTTATGTTCTGGTTGATTCCTCACAAGCTTTGGGTTTTGTGCTGTTTGTTGTTTGTGCTTACTTCTTGAAGCCATCCTAGTTGGTTTTGGAAGTTTAGCTTAAATGATGTGTGCATTATTCCCCCCCCTCCCCCTCCTTTCTCTTTTTATCGATGTAATATTCTTACTTTGTGTTGAATCTTTCTTATCAATAAAGGTCTCTTCTTTTTTGTTGATTTAAAAAAATAAATAAAAAATAAATAAATAAAAAAAACTAGAAGGGTAGAGAAACAAATATTAGAAATTACACCCAATCTATACTATCACTACAACAAATAACACTTTTGGCGACAAAATTTTTGGTCGCCAAAAGTCATGTTTTAGTCAGCGAAGGTTTTTAGTGACTAAGAGTTTTGGTCACCAAGTTTGTTGCTGAGCAATTGTCGATAAAGGTTATTGGCGACTAAAAAAATTTTAGTCGACAAAAGTAATAAATTGTTGACCATTTTTTTAGTCGTGAAAAACATTAAAGTAAAATTATCTATAACATTTTCAGCAACTAAAATTTGTTGTCGGCAAAACTTGAGAATTATATTTTACGACTAAAATTGTAGTCGCCAAATATTTTTTATTTTATTTCATGTTATTGTTTTTTAGCTACTAAATATTTTTTTTTGATAAATAAACCAACTTTATTGAAAGGCATCAAGGCGATGCAAAGAATACAAAAGCTAAACCACCTATGCACCACAAGGAACTACACAAAACATGAATAAAGCAAGCAAAAGAACTATGAAGACAAGTCTTCTACAAATTCAACAAAAGACAAAACAGTCGGGTCCACAGTCAGCGTTAACCAACTATGCACCACGAGGAGCAAACGCCTCTCCAACCAAACCACCAAACGCATCTCTCCCAAAAATACCCGCAGATTACGTTCCAACCACAGTAGCCACATAAGACAATGGCCAGCCAAGTTCCAAGCTCTCCGCCTTCCCTTCCCAACCCTCCCCCCAACCCAGCTTTGTAACACAGCCCTTACAGTCCCTGGCTGAACCCAATCCAAACCGAAGAGAGCTACTATAGACATCCAAAGACGTGAAGCAACCGGACAGCAAATAAGCAAATGATCCACTGACTTCGCACCTCCACAACACATGCAACACCAATTGACCAAAATATGCCCACGCTGACTCAAATTATCAATCGTCAAAATACGGCCTAATGCAGCTGTCCACACAAAGAAAGCAACTTTAGACGGACAACCCACCACCCAAACACTCTTCCAAGGAAAAGGCACCCCAACCGTCCCTGTAATCCTATGGTAAAAAGAGGATACAGAAAACACCCCTTTAGACTTCGGACAATCCCACCTCATAAAATCCTCTCCAGCCCCTCTAAACCGAAGCCCATACAAAAAACCCAACAGACCCAGCACTTGCCCCATCTCCCAATCCTGCACTTGCCGACATAGAACAACATTCCACACAACCACCTGGCCTTGCATCTGGGCATAAGAATCCACCGTCGCCTCCCGGTCAGTGGCAATCCGAAAAAGCAACGGAAACATCACCGCCAATGGCAGCTCCGCACAGCACCTATCTCTTCAAAACCAAACCTGGGTCCCCACCTCAACCAAAAAACTCACATTCTTCCAAAACTCCTTCCGTCCCAACCAAATTCCTTTCCATAAACTGCGACCATGCGAATGGGTAACCTCCTCCGTACTCTAATCCCCCCATCCCAAACCATATTTAGCCCCGACCACCTTCCTCCACAACCGCTCCCTCTCTACCCCAAACTGCCATAACCACTTCCCCAAAAGAGCCAAATTAAATGAAATCAAACTCCGGATCCCCAAACCCCCCATCGCCTTAGGAGAACAGATCTGCTCCCAGGCTACGAGATGATAATGGAAGGATTCTGACCCTCCTCTCCATAAAAAATCCCTCTATAACTTTTCCAACCTCCGAGCAACAGACACAGGAATAACATGTACTGACATGAAATAAGTCGGGATACTCGAGACGACACTCTTGATCAGTGTAACGCGGCCCCCTTTCGAAAGATATTGCCGCTTCCACCCTGCCAAACGACACTGCACCCTGTCCACCACCCCATCCCACACCCTTGGAGCCTTAAAAGAAGCTCCCAAAGGTAACCCCAAATAATTTGTGGGTAAGGCCACTATCTTACAACCCAAAATTGCAGCCAATATAGAAATACGTGGCACGGACCCAACCGGAATCAACTCTGACTTCCCCAAATTCACTCGAAGTCTCGAGACCGCCTCAAAATAGAGAAGAACACACCTTAAATAACCAACCTGACTCTCCTCCGCGCCACAAAAAATATGAGCATCATCCGCACAAAACAAGTGAGACACCACTAATATAGTAGTCCGGTCCATACCCACCTCAAAACCCGTCAAAAGACCCCTCTGAACTGCAGTAGATAACAAGCGCTCCAAAGCCTCCATAATTAAAATAAACAATAAAGGAGACAAAGGGTCACCCTGCCGTAAACCCCTATGAGTCGGGAAAAATCCTGCTGGCGTCCCATTCACTAGGACAGACATCTTAACCGTCGATACACAAAACTGAATCCACTGCCTCCACCGTTCCCCAAACCCCATTCGCTCCAACATATACATCAAA